CGAGAGCCACCGACGCGCCGCACTCCCGGGGCGAGGAGACCCATACGCGGCGCGCCCAGTGCCACCCACGCGCCGCACTCCCGGGGCGGGGAGACCCATACGCGGCGCGCCCAGAGCCACCCACGCGCCGCACTCCTGGGGCCGGTACCTCTCCTCGGCCACACGCCCAGGGGTGAGACTGCCCATATACCCAGTGCCAGTGCCACCCATGTGCTGCACTCCTGGGGCGGGTACCTCTTCTCCGCCACACGCCCAGGGGTGAGACTGCCCATATACCCAGTGCCAGTGCCACCCATGTGCTGCACTCCTGGGGCGGGTACCTCTTCTCCGCCACACGCCCAGGGGTGAGACTGCCCATATACCCAGTGCCAGTGCCACCCATGTGCTGCACTCCCGGGGCCGGTACTTCGCCTCAGCCACATGCCCAGGGGTGAGACTGCCCATATGCCCGGTGCCAGTGCCACCCAATCCTGTGCTGCGTGCCCGGGGCAGGGATACCCATACGCGGCGCGCCCGGTGCCAGTGCCACCCACGCGCCGCACTCCCGGGGCGGGGATACCCATACGCGGCGCGCCCAGTGCCACCCACGCGCCGCACCCCACGTGCCGCACTCCCGGGGCGGGGATACCCATACGCGGCGCGCCCGGTGCCAGTGCCACTCACTCCTGCCCGGGGCACTGGGGGGGGAGCCCGGCTGCACTGCCCCTCCCACGCTGCACCGTGCCCCTCCCTGCTGTGTCCCGGGGCACTGGGGGGGGAGCCCGGCTGCACTGCCCCTCCCACGCTGCACCGTGCCCCTCCCTGCTGTGTCCCGGGGCACTGGGGGGGGAGCCCGGCTGCACTGCCCCTCCCACGCTGCACCGTGCCCCTCCCTGCTGTGTCCCGGGGCACTGGGGGGGGAGCCCGGCTGCACTGCCCCTCCCACGCTGCACCGTGCCCCTCCCTGCTGTGTCCCGGGGCACTGGGGGGGGAGCCCGGCTGCACTGCCCCTCCCACGCTGCACCGTGCCCCTCCCTGCTGTGTCCCGGGGCACTGGGGGGGGAGCCCGGCTGCACTGCCCCTCCCACGCTGCACCGTGCCCCTCCCTGCTGTGTCCCGGGGCACTGGGGGGGGAGCCCGGCTGCACTGCCCCTCCCACGCTGCACCGTGCCCCTCCCTGCTGTGTCCCGGGGCACTGGGGGGGGAGCCCGGCTGCACTGCCCCTCCCACGCTGCACCGTGCCCCTCCCTGCTGTGTCCCGGGGCACTGGGGGGGGAGCCCGGCTGCACTGCCCCTCCCACGCTGCACCGTGCCCCTCCCTGCTGTGTCCCGGGGCACTGGGGGGGGAGCCCGGCTGCACTGCCCCTCCCACGCTGCACCGTGCCCCTCCCTGCTGTGTCCCGGGGCACTGGGGGGGGAGCCCGGCTGCACTGCCCCTCCCACGCTGCACCGTGCCCCTCCCTGCTGTGTCCCGGGGCACTGGGGGGGGAGCCCGGCTGCACTGCCCCTCCCACGCTGCACCGTGCCCCTCCCTGCTGTGTCCCGGGGCACTGGGGGGGGAGCCCGGCTGCACTGCCCCTCCCACGCTGCACCGTGCCCCTCCCTGCTGTGTCCCGGGGCACTGGGGGGGGAGCCCGGCTGCACTGCCCCTCCCACGCTGCACCGTGCCCCTCCCTGCTGTGTCCCGGGGCACTGGGGGGGGAGCCCGGCTGCACTGCCCCTCCCACGCTGCACCGTGCCCCTCCCTGCTGTGTCCCGGGGCACTGGGGGGGGAGCCCGGCTGCACTGCCCCTCCCACGCTGCACCGTGCCCCTCCCTGCTGTGTCCCGGGGCACTGGGGGGGGAGCCCGGCTGCACTGCCCCTCCCACGCTGCACCGTGCCCCTCCCTGCTGTGTCCCGGGGCACTGGGGGGGGAGCCCGGCTGCACTGCCCCTCCCACGCTGCACCGTGCCCCTCCCTGCTGTGTCCCGGGGCACTGGGGGGGGAGCCCGGCTGCACTGCCCCTCCCACGCTGCACCGTGCCCCTCCCTGCTGTGTCCCGGGGCACTGGGGGGGGAGCCCGGCTGCACTGCCCCTCCCACGCTGCACCGTGCCCCTCCCTGCTGTGTCCCGGGGCACTGGGGGGGGAGCCCGGCTGCACTGCCCCTCCCACGCTGCACCGTGCCCCTCCCTGCTGTGTCCCGGGGCACTGGGGGGGGAGCCCGGCTGCACTGCCCCTCCCACGCTGCACCGTGCCCCTCCCTGCTGTGTCCCGGGGCACTGGGGGGGGAGCCCGGCTGCACTGCCCCTCCCACGCTGCACCGTGCCCCTCCCTGCTGTGTCCCGGGGCACTGGGGGGGGAGCCCGGCTGCACTGCCCCTCCCACGCTGCACCGTGCCCCTCCCTGCTGTGTCCCGGGGCACTGGGGGGGGAGCCCGGCTGCACTGCCCCTCCCACGCTGCACCGTGCCCCTCCCTGCTGTGTCCCGGGGCACTGGGGGGGGAGCCCGGCTGCACTGCCCCTCCCACGCTGCACCGTGCCCCTCCCTGCTGTGTCCCGGGGCACTGGGGGGGGAGCCCGGCTGCACTGCCCCTCCCACGCTGCACCGTGCCCCTCCCTGCTGTGTCCCGGGGCACTGGGGGGGGAGCCCGGCTGCACTGCCCCTCCCACGCTGCACCGTGCCCCTCCCTGCTGTGTCCCGGGGCACTGGGGGGGGAGCCCGGCTGCACTGCCCCTCCCACGCTGCACCGTGCCCCTCCCTGCTGTGTCCCGGGGCACTGGGGGGGGAGCCCGGCTGCACTGCCCCTCCCACGCTGCACCGTGCCCCTCCCTGCTGTGTCCCGGGGCACTGGGGGGGGAGCCCGGCTGCACTGCCCCTCCCACGCTGCACCGTGCCCCTCCCTGCTGTGTCCCGGGGCACTGGGGGGGGAGCCCGGCTGCACTGCCCCTCCCACGCTGCACCGTGCCCCTCCCTGCTGTGTCCCGGGGCACTGGGGGGGGAGCCCGGCTGCACTGCCCCTCCCACGCTGCACCGTGCCCCTCCCTGCTGTGTCCCGGGGCACTGGGGGGGGAGCCCGGCTGCACTGCCCCTCCCACGCTGCACCGTGCCCCTCCCTGCTGTGTCCCGGGGCACTGGGGGGGGAGCCCGGCTGCACTGCCCCTCCCACGCTGCACCGTGCCCCTCCCTGCTGTGTCCCGGGGCACTGGGGGGGGAGCCCGGCTGCACTGCCCCTCCCACGCTGCACCGTGCCCCTCCCTGCTGTGTCCCGGGGCACTGGGGGGGGAGCCCGGCTGCACTGCCCCTCCCACGCTGCACCGTGCCCCTCCCTGCTGTGTCCCGGGGCACTGGGGGGGGAGCCCGGCTGCACTGCCCCTCCCACGCTGCACCGTGCCCCTCCCTGCTGTGTCCCGGGGCACTGGGGGGGGAGCCCGGCTGCACTGCCCCTCCCACGCTGCACCGTGCCCCTCCCTGCTGTGTCCCGGGGCACTGGGGGGGGAGCCCGGCTGCACTGCCCCTCCCACGCTGCACCGTGCCCCTCCCTGCTGTGTCCCGGGGCACTGGGGGGGGAGCCCGGCTGCACTGCCCCTCCCACGCTGCACCGTGCCCCTCCCTGCTGTGTCCCGGGGCACTGGGGGGGGAGCCCGG